ACTATTGTCAGAGGGAAGGTTTCAATGTACTCTTTTTCTGATTGCTTGATATTGATATATAGGAAGGCTACAGACTTTTATAGATTAATTTTGTAACTTGCCACTTAAAGTGTTAATCATTTCTAGGAGTTTTCTGGTGGAATTTTTGGTGTCTCTTAGACATAATAGTCTGCAGAAAGGGATTATTTGGTCTTTTCTTTTCCAATTATTGCTCCTTTAATTTCTGTCTCTTAATGTTCTTGCAAGAGTTTCAAGCACTATGTTAAAAAGGAGTGGAGATAGTGGACAGCCTTGTCTGGTTCCTGATTTTAATGGGAATGCTTCTGGTTTTTCCTCCATTTAGAAAGATGTTCGCTGTGGGTTTGTTGTATATGGCTTTAATTATGTTGAGGTATGTTCCCTCCAGCCCAGTTCCCTCTTGGACTTTGAACATAAATGCATGTTGAATTTTGTCAAAGGCCTTCTCTGCATCTGTTGAGATGACCATGTGGTTCTTGTCTTTGGTCCATTTATATGAGTTATGATGTTCATTGACTTACATATATTGAACCATCCCTGCATCTCTGGAATAAAGCCGACTTGATCATGGTAGATGATCTTTTTGATGTGTCTCTGTATACAGTTTGTAAGTATTTTGTTGAGAATTTTTGTATATATGTTCATTAAGGATATGGGTCTATAGTTGTCTTTATTGGTTGTATCTTTACCTGGCTTTGGTATTAGAGTGATGCTGGCTTCATAGAAAGAATTTGCAAGTTCTCCCTCCATTTCTATCTTTTTGAATAAATTTAGTAGTATTGGATGCAGATCTTCTTTAAATGTCTGATAGAATTCTGCTGTAAATCCATCTGGTTTTCTTGGTTTAGTTGGGCGGTTTTATATTTCTTATGTATTATGGGTCTGTTTAAACTGTTGATCTCTTCTTGGTTTAGTTTCAGTGATTCCAATGCTTTTAGATACCTGTCCATTTCTTTTAGGTTTTCAAATTTGATAGCGTGTAGGTTTTTAAAGCATTCCCTTATAATGTTCCATATCTTTTTAGTATCTGTTGTGATATTTCTCCTTTCATCTCTGATTTTGTTGATTTGGAGATGCTCTTTCTTTGTTTTGGTTAACTGGGCTAAGGGTCTATCAGTCTTGCTATCTTTTCAAAAAACCTGCTTTTGGATTTGTAGATTCTTTGAATTGTTTTCTTTGTTTCTATTTCATTAATTTCTGCTCTGATTTTTGTTATTTCTTCTTGTCTACTGGGTTTGGGTTTCATTTGTTGTTGCTTTTCAAGTGT